TTTAATTCAGTACTTACTGTTTTTCTATAATCTAGCAGCAAAACATCAGATTACCAACATGTTTGATTATTTGCAGCTTCTGTTTCCTCAAGCATGGTGTTTATTTCTTAGCATATATGCTCTGCAAGGTTACTGTAGCCACTGAGTTCAGCGCGGGAATAGGAATAATAAATAAGAAAGGGCTGTGAAACCTACCACCTTTATATGTCTTCCTGCTACAAACTTCATCTTTAAACCCCACTCCTTAATGATTAGTGGTCCTGGGTACATTTCTAAACAATTGGCAGAACCCGGTTGAGAAAGATTTGTTGATCTGAAAGGTTTCTCTTCCAAATTGTTGCATTTTGATAAATGGCAAAAATGAATAATAGAAAATTAGCATTTTGAATGGAGAGAAAGATATATATCTCTGAGATTGTTTGCTGTTTGTGGGTTGTTGATTCTGACTGTTGTGTCATTCGCTGGTTTATCATTCCTTCGGGCAGGCATCTGTCATTCCAAGGCATGTTCTCAGAGTTGTTTTCAGCTGTATTCCTCATCTCCGTTTTATTTACCTGATATGTCCTTTTTCCACCACCACCACCCCTCCACCTTTTGAGTTTGCCCTTGTAGAAAAGGCTGGATGGCATCAGTGTTTGTTTGTGTTAGAGGGTATTTGGACTAACAACTGGTCACTTAATCAGGACATCTTCTGTTTTAACTGAGGCTCCTTCCTCTCTGCTCCCTGATCCAGTTCTCTCTCTGCTTTGTCATCGTACTTTTGGCTGGAAGTGGATGCTTGTGGGAGATTATCAGCATAGCATTTGGGGCTCTATTTTGATATTCTGCATTTTTTATCTCTTTTATTATGTAACTTAAGAGCAGCCTTTACAAATTCATCCTTACTGATTATTTTTTTTAATAACATTCTCCAGTGTTTTTTTTAAGAAATACATTTGGACAGAAAGTTGCCTAACTGGGTATTTTCTTTTTTAATACAGTGGCAGTTTCTCTGTTTAGTGATATGATTTGTTTGTGTAGCATTTCTATAGAATTCAAGCAGCTTATTTGATAAGGCCCCTAAGGGGGAAAGAAACCCTCTAAAATAAAGTGCCATCAGAAAAGAATCCTCAGACAGCTTCTTCTACTCTTTCACAAGGTAGCTGTATATTTTTTTAATCGACATTGCTGCCTTTTTTTCTTAAGAAAAAATTAAATACAATCATAAACTATAGTCAGTTCCTGCAAAATATCACTTTAATATTTTGAAATGAAAGAGCTAGACTCTTAAAGCAGGAAAGTACTCCATGAAATAGTAATGAATTTACATTTTATTTAAGCTGTTAACTGTTTAGAAGGAAATCAGATTGCTGTAGGCCTGAAGTAGAAGCTTGACCTCCTTGAATATTACTATCACCGACTTTGACAAGAAATATAAAACACTGATATGAAATAATCTTCCTATTTCTAAAGCAGGAGTTAAGGAGGAAAACACCAGCTCAAGGAATAACTTGAAGGCAGTGATTTCAAGCTGGAGTATCCATAATCATGCAGATGGCTTTCCCCCCTTCTCGGGTGATTAATTCAACATCTTCCCCAAAACAAAAACACGCTTTTTGAAATTAGAGATCAGATCATCAAGAGAAGCACCTAAGATTCCGAGGTCTAAACAAAAATTAATTTATTTTCTTCCCTCCTTGTACTTCTTGAAGACACAGACTGAGGAGAAAATCGGGATTAAAAGAGATGTGCTTAGGGTGAATTCATCTGCTTAAACCTCACAGGCTCGGAGATGAGTGATTAAAAAGCCATCTCGAACTTGGACGGAATCCACGTTGGCCATAAAGCCTCATCCACGATCGCTTTCTTCAGGCCCTGTGTCATTGCGAACCAGGCCCGGGGAACATTGGACGAGAGATGATACATGGATTATATAGGTCAATTATACACTTAATCTGCCTTCTGGGGGATTAAGTATCTGCAGATTGACTTTGCATTTGGCTTCTCCCTGGCAGTTATCAGATCAGGAAAGGGCCCCACACCAAACTGCCTCCTAAGAACTTAATCAGACAGCGCTGGCGGCTTCAGATGGGGCTGCTGCTCGGGAGTCTTTGCCTGTCACAGATTTTCCTCTGCTCTTTCATTATCAAACTGTTTATTTGTCTACTTTATGTGTCAGCACAGTAATTGAGTGTTAATATTTCCCTTTAAAAGGGTAATTTGAAAAATGAAGCCTCTGCTTGTTAAAATATATTCAACCACACTTCTATAGGGGACCACAGAACACCTTGTTTTAATAACCTTATTCAATTATAAAAGCGCTATACATGTGAAGATACAGTAATCAAAGCAGGAGTCACCCTGCTCCAGGAAGTAAGTCCTGACCAGGAGCCACAGGACCACATCACCTTATAGCCCTAATGCACAGCATCGGCTGTTCAGGTGAGCGAACTACCTCTAAACTTACAAAGAGGGGAGAAGTACAGGCTTCACCAAGGCAGTCAGGTGCAGCTCTGGGAGC